TCTTTGCCTTTAATTTAAGAGTGGTTCATCTTCTCCCCCAGAAACATCTTCAGCATTTATCTTCATGGCCCTGAATCAAAGGGCCACGTGCACAAGTTTATCCCAAACCAAAAGTCCTCTCTTTGATAAGGAGGGAGTAGATCTGGGCACAAAGAAATGGCATATATAGTCTTCCTTGTTATTTGAAGAAACTCCCCAAACCATCTTCAGCTCCATCATGGAGTTCATTAGATCAGGAGAGGGATGCACCCTCCGTTGTATCATTTATTTGGTTTCCATCGTGTTCTGTACTCAGCTGCCAAGGACTTGGTAATCTTGAATCTGCAGTTGTAAATCTACAGTCCGTGGAGGGCTATTAAAGAAGTCTCTCCTTAGCTGCATACTAGGTACTAAAAAAAAAAGAAAAAAAAAAACAAATAAAGAAGTCTCTCCTGTAGGCTGAAAAGAGCCCCTCATGTGTGGTTTTTCCCCTGGTTCAGCAGAAGCATCAGGCCCTGGTGTAGCCGGGTCATCTCAGTCATCACTGTGCCTCAGTGTTCTCAGTGCCTCTAGGTTTGAAGCTGGGGTAGTCTCTGCACATGCACACCCTATTCCATTTGCAAATGTGCTGACTGGCCCCGAAGTTCTACTTCTATGAATCTGTCCACCTCAGAGAAACACTTGGGCACATGTGCCCCAAAATACACGTTAAAAGGATATTAATTGCAATATGGTTCAGAATAGCAATAATTGGATACAACTGTAATGTCCATCTACAGATGAATTACTAGAAAAATGTCATATCCATCCTACAAAATACCAAATATCAGATAAAAAGAATGAAATAGATCAGATATAGAAAGATTCTAAGACTTACTATTAAGTTCAAATATTTTACACAATAAGTACGGAATGATTCAATTTATGATAAAAGAAAAACAAAGCCATACGCATGCACACACACATACACTCTTAGAAAAGTGGAATAAACACACCAAGTCAGTAATAATGATTTCCTCTGGGGCAAGGAGGGAAAATATGGGGAAGCATTGGTACGAGGAGAACTTTCACTTTTTACTCAATAAAGCTCTCTATTGATTAAAATGTTTTACAATGAGGATCTATCCATTGTGAAATTTTAAAAATTGTTTAAATTTCATATGTATTAGTGAGAGTGACAGAATCTGAAACAGACAGCACTGGAGCCAAAGGGTGAGGCAGGAAGGATCTGTGACTCTTGACTACGTCCCACCTGGGGCTGGCACAGACTTCCACCCCCACGCTCTTTCCACAAAACCTTTGCAAGTCCTCACTGGCAACAGCAGTAGTATAGCACCTTCAGGCGACAGGGCTTTCCTACTTCAGTTCAATAAAATAGTATCTCTCACTTATTGAATGCTTGATAAGCAACAGGACCCTTGCTAAGCGCCTGAGCCTGCCCTGTGTCCCCTGAGAGAGGGGGTGCTGTTATGCCCTTTCTACAGACGAGGACATGAAGGCCCGGTGAGATTAAGGGATCTGTCCAAGGTGATATTACTGGGAAGAACTCAGGTCTCAGCCATTAGATGATAAGCTGCTGAGTCACTGAACCAGAATTGGAGATTGGGTACAAATTCCAGCTCTGCCACCAGCCACTCATATGACTTTGGGCAAGTCATTTCACTTTTCTAGATCTTAATTTCCTCAAAGGTAAAGTAGTGAGAACACCCCTGACTCTGCCTGTCTTCCCTGGGTGCTGTGAGGACCAGATAGGGAAACAGGAATAGAACTGCTCCACTGGAGGCAAAGTTCTGGGACCCGTGAGGGTTGTTAACGATGCTATTTTCACTATCAGCGAAGCCCAGGGCCAAGTCCCCCACTGCACCCTAGGAAGTTGTTCCTGTGGTCCCTTAGGAAAGCCAACCGGAGGGAGATGGCCCCAGCAGGCCTGGCTGCAGGGAGGAGCTGGAGGGTTTAATGGGCCACAGCTCAGCTCCTGGCTCTCCCACCAAGGCCAAATGTGACAACGCCACAGAAGGCACCAAGGTGGACAAGGCTTGGCAGGTGAGCTGGGCTGGGGATGGAGTGTCCAGAATGGGCAAAGGCTGGAGTGGGGAGACAGGCTTGGGGAGGCCAGGGGCATGTAGAGCCATAACAAGAAGCCGGAGCACACACACCTGATGTGTGAACGTCAGGGTGCCAGGATCCACGTCAGCTGTGCACACGCGGTCTGTGTGACTGTGGACCAGAAACCTGCAGACCTGGAGGCATGTGTGGTCACAAGCAGGATGCTGATGATCATGGAAGAGAGCTTCTCCTGAGGAGGCAAAGCCTAGGACAGCAAGAGAAATGGAATATTTAGTGAGACACGCATCAATCTGTAAGAGTCACAGATGAGGGAACTGCGGTTCAGACAGGGAAAGTGCAGGTGGTGGGGCCAGGATGGAAACCCAGGTCTTTCTAACTCCAAAGTTAATGGACATAAATTCTGTGCTTCACACACATCCTGCTCCTTTTCTATGGGAACAGTGCAGGGTGGTGGGATATCACGAGTTAATTGCATGGATTTGGGGGTTATTATAGTGAGGTGTAATGACATAAATAATGACTGTGAAGAGTCAAGCATGCAACAGGAGCTTAATAAATGGGAGAGTGCTTGCTCTCCCTCCTTAGAGGCTTGGGCTGTGAGATATCCATCTCCGAACGCCTCACTCAGCCAAACACAGAGCTGATGCTCAAAAATGTTTATTGAGGTGAAAGATGTCATTTCTCCCAAAGCTCTCATTTTATAGATGGGAAAACTGAGGCTCAGAGACCTGCAGTCACAGCAAGAAAGAGTGGCAGAGCTGGTCCAGGAGCCAGGACTCTGGGTTGCCAGGTGGGTCTCAGTCCCTTGAAGCAGGCTGCCTCCAGGAATAGCCTCTGATCTCACCCCTTACCTGTCGTGGATGAGGGCCTGGCCTTCTCTGACCCTCAGTTTCTTCATTAGTTGTAGGGGTGCAACCCCTCGCTAGCAGGGCTATGTGATGGGAGGAAATGAGATATAGAGAGTGGAGGTTGGACATTGGGGTGATTGGTTTTTCTGTTCTTCTTTCTCCCAGACTGGCACCATAATTGTCACGGAGATAATCCCAGCGGGGAGGGTCCTCCCAAGGAAATGGTTCCCTAAATAATACTTTCAGTGCCTGGAAGCACTGGAAACACACCTGTATCATGTAATCCAAACTATAATCACTTAATGTCAACCACCAAGTAAATTTAAAGAAGTCCAGCGTTTTCTGATTTCTGCCAGGATGCTACATCAACACTTCTTAAAAATATCAAGTATGCAATTCTTTCAAAAATGGTATTTGATGCTCCTACCTAGCTGGTGCCCCAAGCACACGCTTCGTGTGTCTGTTGCATAGGCCTGCCCGGCCAAACAGCAGTTTGAGGGCAGGGAAGTGCGTCAGTGCCTTGGAGGTGAGGGGTGAGCACAAAAACCTCAACTGATCAGTCTGTCCTTGGCCCCAAGTAGGTGCGGGAGCCTGGGCTCAAGGTGAGTTGATAACCCAGCCCTGCCAACAGTCTGTTCTACCACCACTTGCTGTGTGGCCTTGGGAAAATCAAAGCCCATTTCTGAGCCTCCCTTGTCTGTCCCAATCTTTATAATAAAGAGATTGACTAAATCTATTTAATCACTAATGGCTCCTTCATTTTTATTTTATGATTCCTCAGCAAAACAAGGCAAGGTAGAAAAGCTGCATTCTCGAGCACCAAGCACCAAACTCCTGGGAAGCGCGGTGGTGCATTATTAAATAGAAACAATCAGACCCCATAACTGCCCTGAAAGTGCTCCTGGTGTGGCGAAGCCATAGACATATAAATAGACAGGGAAGAGCCAGCATGATTATATATCCAGTTTACTATTATACCTATCCAATGAGTTCTTAATTGCAAATATTGGATATTTCAGTTTTAGAATGTTTAATTCTTTTTTAAATAGATTCCAATTTTCTATTGAAACTGCTATTTTTAAAATTCATTTTGTCAACATTTTTCTCTATTTTCTTTAATGTATAAACATAATTACAGTAAAGTTCTTGTTTGCTAACTCAGGAACTAGATCATCTTTATGTCAACTTTTATCGCATATTTTCCCTCTTGGTTTTAGCTACCCTCCTCACCCTTCCCACTTCCTCCCCATATGCAGACACATGGCCTCAATTTTTGTAAAAGGTCTTGAGGGGAAGACCATGTGTGTTTGAGGCAAACCCTCTCCCTATAGTCTCTTAAGCTTCACAGATCATGGGAGATGTTATCTTGTCTTTTAGAAGCTTTCAGACCAGCTCTCCAGCCTCCTTTGCATAGCCCCAGAATTCAGAAGATGTCCCATGGGGAAAACCTGCTATTCACTGAGAGTGCCTCCAATTTCCGATCTGTTTTGTAAGCCCTTTTTGACTGCCAAAAGCCTTACTGATTTCTCTTTCTCTCATCCATGACCCACTTCCTGATCCAAGCTAAAGCCACATCATGATCTCCAAATCAAATATTCTCAGAGATGAAAAGAGCTGATCATTGTTAGCTCACTTTGGAGGGCCCCCATCCCCCAGAGTTTCACTTCATCTCATCCTTATTGAATCCATGTTTCTCCAGTTTGTTTCAAAATATGATTTGTGTAATTTATCCATGTTTTCCTAGTTCTTGCAATGGAAATGTGGGCTACTGTGACCTATTACATCCTGTGCAGGAGCAGAAGTCTGGACACCTAGCTTAAATGGAGTCAAGAAGAACCACTACTGAAGGCATACAAGAAAGAAAGAAGCTTAGTAAATATGTGAGCAGCAGCATATTACAGAAAATCTTGGAGAAAGCAGCCCCTCCAAAACAACATGGTGGAACTTTGAGTGAGTGCAAAAGTAGAGGACTTAAATTAAGAGATCTGACGTCAACCCAAATCACAAAGCGTGGAACCTAAGAAGAGGACCAGAAGAAGTCTTTCCAAAGCATTTTCACAATTATAATTCAATAATGAACTGTTTAGTTCTGATATTCCTGGTAAAATGAAAATTCTAGGAAGACAGGAACTTTTCCTGTCTTCTATACTTTCAACACTTTATCACCTACACCAAGCATCAAGACATCCATTTGGTAGGTTATTACTAATTAATATTTGACAAATCTGGGGATCAAATGGTAAAAGTTAATACCACAGCCCACCGTCAGTCCTCTAGAGTTGATTGTAAGTAATTGTGCTTATATTAACTGTAAGGTAAACATTATAGAATTATCACTGCAGGATCCTTTGTTTCTATGGTTTCCAGATGTTCCCAGTGTCCAGATGATCCAGCTGCCCATCTCCCAGAAATCTAGCTCTATCTCACTATGGAGGCCACAACCTGTAATGGATCAGTGGATGGCTCGCCCATCTTCTACCTAGTGGGCATCCCCTCTCTGCCGGAGTCCTTCTTCCTCCCTGTGTTTTTTATTTTCCTCCTCTTCTATCTTCTCATCCTTATGGGTAATGCCCTGATCCTGGTGGCTGTGGTGGCTGAGCCCAGCCTCCACAAGCCCATGTACTTCTTCCTGATCAACCTCTCCACCTTGGACATCCTTTTCACCACAACTACTGTCCCCAAGATGCTGTCCCTATTCTTGCTTGGGGACCATTTCCTCACCTTTCCTTCCTGCTTATTGCAGATGTATCTTTTCCAAAGTTTTACATGCTCTGAAGCCTTCATCCTGGTGGTCATGGCCTATGACCGCTATGTGGCTATTTGCCGCCCACTGCACTACCCTGTCCACATGACGCCACAGACCAATGCTATGCTGGCGGCCAGTGCCTGGTTCACTGCCCTCCTCCTGCCCATCCCAGCAGTAGTAAAGACCTCCCAGATGGCATATAACAGCATTGCCTACATCTACCACTGCTTCTGTGATCATCTGGCTCTGGTCCAGTCCTCCTGCTCTGACACCACCCCCCAGACTCTCATGGGCTTCTGCATTGCCATGGTGGTGTCCTTCCTCCCCCTTCTCCTGGTGCTCCTCTCCTACGCCCGCATCCTGGCCTCGGTGCTTCGCATCAGCTCCCGAGAAGGACGGTCCAAAGCCTTCTCCACCTGCAGCTCCCACCTCCTGGTGGTGGGCACCTACTACTCATCCATTGCCATCGCCTATGTGGCCTACAGGGCTGACCTGCCCCTCGACTTCCACATCATGGGCAATGTAGCGTATGCTATTCTCACACCAATCCTCAACCCCCTCATTTATACCCTGAGAAACAAGGATGTAAAGGCCGCCATTACCAAAATCACATGTCTCAAGAACCCAGGCTGTGACAGGGGCATTTGACCTTTAATTCAGCTAATCCTGTTCCCAGGACACCAAATAACAGTACTTAGAACAGAGTAGGGTCTCAATACCTATTGGCAAATGAATAAATTAATGGATATAGAATGGTAAAAGAAAATTTAGTTGAGCAGAGAGTTCCAAAAGTGGTTCTCATATATTTTGGTCCAAGGCTTTCCCATTGTGCAATGGGATAATGCTAATCTTTATAGGAATCTTAAGTTGTTGTATAAAGATTTCACTACTTAGTTCAAGAAACTTTACCAAAATTTTAAAAAATCTGCACAGCAAAATATCTTTTTAAATAAGGTCAAAAGACCAAAGACACATCACAGAGAAAAGGCAAATATTCATAATATGTAAAAAGAGAGCTCTTAAAAAATTTAGAAGACTAAAATTCTAACATTTCAATATAAAAACAGGCAAAATATATGAGTAGACAGGTAATAAATGGAATGGTCTTTAATCAATGAAAATGTCTACTATATAAATGCAATTAATACAAATACAAATTAAAACTATGCTGAAATGCCCTTTTTCACTTAATCAGATTAGCAAAAATCCAATATTTTGACATGCACATGGAAAAACAGAACTCATAACTTGCTCATGAGAATGCAAATCAGTAAACACTACCACAACATCTACCAAAAGTACCTATGCATTTACCCTTTGACCCAGCAATCTCACTTCTAGGATCTATCCCAAAGACTCACTGTCAATCATTCATTAGGCTACTCATTCACCACTATATAAGGGGACTGGTTGAATAAACTATAAAAATGTACAACGCATAAAGTGAGGGAGCTCTCGGTATACCAATATGCTGTCATCTCTAGGATATGTATTGAGTGAATAAAGCAAGCTGCAGAAGAATGTTTTTGTAAAAAAGGAGGTAATTTGCTTAAAATTTTGGAAAAAAATGTAAACTAATAAAGATGTTTATAAGAAGAGGGAGGGACAGGAATGGATACAAGACAAACGTAAAGGTACATTCTGACTTTTGATGTCTGTAAATGTTTATATATTAATAGTTAAAAGAAATCACAAAGAAAAAAATCCCACAATTCCCTGAATTTAAAATAAACAGAAGCACTTGACCCTGGTGTCTCTCAAGTTAGTTGCATGACCATGCTCTGTAAGTGATGTTAAAACAGTATTTTGACTACACATCCTGAGAGAGATTTATTATAGAACAAGAAAAAAATCACATTTTAAACTGCCTTGAGGAGTTTTAAAAATATATGTATTATAGTTTTACTTCCTTAATACAGATTGGATATACATTACATATTTCTCTAAGCAAAGCCATTTTTAGCATTTTATTTTGACATGATTTTATATTTACATAGCATTTCAAAAATAATAGAGTCCCATATACATTTCATCCAACTTCCTCTAATGCTGACATCTTAGGTAATCATGATATATTAATCAAAAGAAATTAACATGGGTAAAATACATACTATTAATTAAATGAGAGTTTATTCAAATTTCTCCAGTTTTTCCACTAATGTCTTTTTTCCATTCCAGGATACTACATCATTTTATTGTCATGTCTCCTTCGCTGCCTGATGGTTTCTTGGTCTTTCCTTGTCTTTCATGAACTTGACACTTTTGAAGAGTTAATAGTAAACTTAAGTGCATATTACTAAGTGAAATAAGCCAATCTGAAAAGGCTACTGTATGATTTCAAGTATACAACCCTTTGAAAAGGGCAAAACTATTAATATAAAGGCAGTAAAGAGATCAGTGGCTGCCAGTGTTTAGGGGGCGGGAGGGTTGCATGGGCAGAGCACAGATTTTTAGGACAGTGAAATTATTCTGTATGATACTTTAACTGTGGATACATCCTATTGTATATTTGTTAAAACCTATAGATTACAACACCAAGAACAAACTCTAATGTAAACTATGGACTTTGGGTGATAAAGATGTGTCAATGTAGGTTTGATTGTAACAAATGCACCACTCTGATAGTGAATGTCATTCTAATAGGTATGTAGGGGTACCTCATTATGCTTGTAATTTAATTTAATTATATTTCTCTGTGACTAATGATGCTGACTATATCTTTCATGTGCTCATTTTCCATCTATATATTTTCTTTGGTGAAGTCTGTTCAGATCTTTTGCCTGTTTTTTATTTGAGTTGTTTTCATACTGTTGAGTTTCAAGAGTTCTTTATATATTCCAGGTGCAAGTCCTTTATCAGATATGTAAATATGCAAATAGTTTCTCCCAGTCAGTGAACGGTCTTTGCATTCTCTTACAGTGTCTTTCGCAGAACAAAGGTTTTTAATTTTGATAAAGTCTAACTTCTCAATTTTTCCTTTTTGGATCATACAGTCCTCAAACAGTAGGACTTCCATTTTCTAATTGGGTGCTATTCTCCCATCCTGCAAAGTGGGAAGTGCTGTCAGGTAAAAAACTGGGGTCCTGTAGAAGTCATCTCACGTGCTTCCCTTACCTCAAGGGGAGCAGTCCTGCAAGGCCTGCCGTGGATCACTCTCTGAAGCCATAAACAGTTGTTTTACATACCTTGTCCCGCGTTTATGGTTGTTTTGGGCAGAGGTTTAGTTCCAAACAAGCTACTCTTTCATAGCCAAAACTTAAAAGTATCCTTTGAATTTTTGAGGCCACATACATGATAAGAGAATTACAGCACACCCCCCTAGGATTTTAGAGAAAACCTGTTTTTCCTGCAGATAACTATTTTCCTTTTTTAATAAATAGTTCCTGGCCCTGGTGCACACTGAATGCTTAACCAGGGGAACACTAAATGAATGAGCCCCAAGCTGCTGCTTATAAATTGAGTTTTAATTCAAACAAACAAAATATAAAATTAGATGTGTACAGAAACATCCCATCTTCAAGTGGAATCATAAATGTTATTATATTAGGCTCAAGTAGGTCCTGGAGTTGTGTGAGCAGGTAGCTGAGACTTCCACAACAATCAGTCTTGCTGCGTTGGCACCTTTCCATCAGCTCTTACATATGGCCTCACAGGCAACTTCCTATAACCAATTCCCCCAGAAAGAAAAACATTCAGGCTTGGTTTACAAATATTTCTTCAAAATATGCTGGGTCCACCCGAAAGTAGACTGCCACTGCGTTACAGCCCCATTCGGGAGGACCCTGACGGACCTCCAACAAGGTAAATCCTGTTAGCGGGAAGAACCTTTGGCAGTGCATTTGGTTTTTCACCTCGTAAGTTCACATCACCTGGAAAGTGAAATGGAAAGAGGTATAGATCTAGGCCGGGCATGGTGGCTCACGCCTGTAATCCTAGCACTCTGGGAGGCCAAGGTGGGAGGATCGCTCAAGGTCAAGAGTTCGAAACCAGCATGAGCAAGAACAAGACCCCGTCTCTACTAAAAAAATAGAAAGAAATTAATTGGCCAAACTAAAAACATATGGAAAAAATTAGCCGGGCATGGTGGCACATGCCTGTAGTCCCAGCTACTTGGAAGGCTGAGGCAGGAGGATCACTTGAGCCCAGGAGTTTGAGGTTACTGTGAGCTAGGCTGATGCCATGGCACTCTAGCCCAGGCAACAGAGTGAGACTCTGTCTCAAAAAAAAAAAAAAAAAAAAAAAAAAAAGAGGTATAGATCTATACCTGATTATGGGCAATAGCTAATGATCAGGTACTTGGAAAGAACAAGAGGAATGGTGAAAAGGAAGTCTAGTTAAGGTGATAAACCTCTCAGAATGGGCACAAATTGTGAAGATATTTGTGTCCCATGTGACTATTTGCCAAAAGGTATATCCATGGTAGAGAAAGTTCTCCAAAATCAGCAAGAGTAGGCAAAACCAGGTAGACAAGATGGTCCATCCTATGAGTATCAGTCAGCCTCTTCGCAGCCACTCAGTGTTTGCTCAATAGATTTACAAAAAAAAAAAGGCCACAGTGGCATGGGTGGAGGTCATGCTTGGGTTCATCAAGGCTGATCTGACTTAGCTTCTGCTAAGTACCAATATGCCAGCAACAAAGACCAACACCGAGCCCATGGTATGAACCATTGCCCAGGGAAAGTGGCCAGCTACAGGTGGCAGGTTGATTACACTGATCCCTTCTATCAATGAGGGGGCAGCAGTTTGTCTTAATTGGAATAGAAACCTATTCTGGGCATAAATTTGCCTTCCCTGTAAACAGTGTTTCTCCCAGTACCACCTTATATGGATATAGTAAGTGCCTCATTCCTCATGATGATATCATATATGACCTTCCCTTGCTTTTGTAGCAAAAAAAAAAAAGTGAAGTATTCTCATGCCCATAGGATTTGTTGGTTTTACAATGTACCCCACTACTCAGAATCAGGTATCCTGGCAGAAGGGAGGAACAACCTGTTGAAGACTGAGTTTGAGGTGCTGTCTGGATAGCAACACCTTGCAGGGTTTAGGTGTTGCCTTACAAGTTGAAATACATACTCTTACCCAGCAACCAACATAAAGAGCAGGGTCCTGTCTGGCCAGAATACACAGGTCTGGGGACCAAGGTAGGAAAGGTGAATGCCTCCTCTAACTACTCTGAAGGACTCTGTTCCAAAATACGCACTTCCTTCTCCTCAACTGTAGATTATGCTGGTTTATAAGTTGTAGTTCCTAAGACTGGAAGGCATATACTGGTGTGGAGTCATCATTTCATTGACCTGGAAGCTGAGTTTGCCTCCTCAACTTTTGGGTCTTCCCTTGCCACTGAATCAACAGGCAAATAAGAGCACAACCAATATATCTGATTTGAAAGAGGAAACCAGAAAACCAAGTTGTGGCTAGTTAATAGCCCCAGACCCCATGCTCTTGGTCACTACACAATCCTGTTGCTGCAGCCAAGGCTCCAGGCAAGGAATAGAGCCCTGAGTCTAGATTCCAGCTCTGCCTCTAGCCACCAGTGCTAATATGCATGAGTTACTTCCTTTTGTGGACCTCATTTTCCTTCTTTTGGCCTTCATGTGCACCCTGTTGTTACTTCCTGTGTTCTCTGGTGTTGCAAGGATGAGAAGGGATTGATGAGAATGAAGGTTACACCACTGGTGTAAAGTTCTGGGCCCTTGAGGGCTGTTGGTGATGATCTTCTCATTATCTGCAAAGCTCAGGGACAAATCCTGCACCCTTCTCATTACAGTCTAGGAGATGCCAGGAAGTTGATCCCTGAGGGATGGTGGGTATGGTGGCCCGTGGAGCATCATCTCGAGGGGAAGTACCCAGGGGGCCTGTCTGAAGGGAGGAGTCTGAGTGTTTAATGGGCCACCGCTCAGCCCCTGACTGCCGCCTCCACCCAGGCCTCACATGAAGAACCACAGGAGACACCCGTGTGCGCCAGGCTCAACAGGTGAGCATTGCTAGAGATGGAGTGCCCGGAGATAGGCAGAGAAAGCTGGGATGGGGAGACAGGGAGCCCAGGGACTACACACCTGGGCCAGAGGTCAGGAAGGCAGATTGGGTGAGTACAGAGGCAGGCACCCAGCTGCACACGTGGGCTGTGAGACCTTTTGCAGGACATCCTGGCAGGCCTGATCAATGGGACACACTCACAGATGGGATCCAAATCAGCTTGGCCAAGGCCTTCCCATGGGAAGATGAAGCTGATGACAGCAGGAACCATAGGAAACATGAGCAAACCTTGAGCTCTTCCATGCTCCAGGCTCTGTGTAAGCGTGTCTAAGCATTCTCTGCATAAAGAAAACCCTATGGGGTCATAAATGAGGAGGTTAGGCTCAGAGAGGGAAACGGACTTGCTCAAGGTCACACAGCTGGAGCCAGGACAGGGATGGACTCTTGAGTCCACACACTTACATGCTCAGGTGCCTGTGATATGACGAAGGTGAAGAGCCTGGTTTGCAGCAAGTGCTCACTCAGCGGCAGCGCCCTCGCCCTGTCCGGGAGGGGCCGGACCTCATGACACCTGTCTCTGCACGCCCTGCTTTGCCACACTTGGAGGGGACACTCAGAAAATGGATCATTGAACTGGAAACCCCTCAGAGATTTTTTCTCCAACTCCTAACTGTACAGATGAGAAATCCATGGCTCAGAGACCCAAAGCCACAGGCAGGCAGTGGCAGAGCTGGTCTAGGAGCCAGGACTCTGGGTTGCCAGGTGGGGCTCAGTCCCTGGCAGCAGGTGGGCTCTGCTCTCACCCCTTGCCAGCCAGGGCCTTGGACAAGGACCTGTCCTTCTCTGACCCTCAGTTTCTTTGTCAGTTGAAGGGGTGTAACCACCCACTGGCAGAGGTGTGTGATGAAGGGAGGGACGTGCATAGGGTGCAGGCTGGACATTGGGGTGACAGGTTTTCTGTCCTCTCTCCCCCACCAGCACTGTAACTAGATGACAGGGAATATCCACTGGGGCAAGTTCTGTGCTCTGAGAAACAGTGTCCTTTTGGCTGTAAGCACAGGACTACATGACATAGAGGTTGCGTATCATCGAAAATAAAACAAGAATTTTAATCTGTAAAATCAGTATAAGAAAGTCCTGCCAAATTCTAATATTTCCTGTGATGGGCCAGTTGAATGGTGCTTTGAAGTAGCAACAGTTAAATTCTTTCCTGAAGTATTTTTGGTGCCTTGCTTTGCGGGTGACCCGAGCCTGGCCTGCCTGTTGGAAGGTGCAGCACCGCCCGGCTGTGCAAAGTCACAGGCCACCACCTCTCTGCTGCGGTCTCAGCATCCGTGTCTCCATCTGCAAAGCCGTGGACAGAGGAAGGAGGAGGAGAGGCAGCTGGAATTGGTGGGCTCCTAGGGCCCTTCTGGCTTTGACCATCTGAGTTTCTGTCCTTGAAACCCACAACTCAGCTTAACCTGGGCCATCAGCCATGACTGGCTCTCTGGGGCAACAATGCCCAGGGTGGTGTGTTTTGCATCCCTTTGGGTTACAAACCTACGGTTTTGGCAGGTGAGGAAAACCTGGCCACCCAATCTGTTAAGATGGGGTTTTGGCTAACTGAGGGACAACCCTCTCAACCTGGGCCAAGGCAGGTTCACTCTCTTGCTAGGCACTGGGACATGGTATTGAAGGAGCATTCACATTGCCAGACACCAATTTTGTATATTCTATAGACAGACCCAGAGAAAAAATTTGAAGTTTAGTTTTATCCAATGTTATCAAGTGAAAAAATGAAAATAGAAATAGACATCTTTGCCTTAATATTTCCTCCTTAAAAACTTTAACTTCTGGATTCTCCAGGAAATATGAATAAAGAGCCCTGTCCTAGGAATCTAACACCTGGCACAGAGCTCCTGGCTCTGCAGCCAGGCGGCTGTGGCACCTGGCAAAGCCCGTGCCCTTTCTGTGCACAGTCTCGGGCCTAAGGGGGGTAAATAGGTTGGACTTAAAAATATGTTAAGTTTTTCCAGTTTTTCCATTGGCAGGTTTATGCATGAGAGATGTTTTGCTAGAAGAGTGGGAACTCAGAAGTGACTCTAGGAAAATAAGGGGAAAATGCTCATGGAATCATTAGGATTAAGGAGGCAGTAACACAAATGTCAACAAGGGCTGGACCTGGGAGTCACTTAGACCAAGGGACAAGCCTAAAGTACAGGGGCGAGTCAGTACTTTCCTTCAGCTCAAAATCCCCAGGTCTGTGGGTTGAAATGCTCATTTCTGGGAGAGGTGCTTTTGCCTTGGAGGAGCTACTGCAAGTGGAGCTCCAGTTCTTCTCTACCAATAATGCCTCCCAAGTCTTCCTAGGTCACCATGACACCTTTTGACCAGGGATAAAAGAAGCCTCTCGGGTAGCCGGCACGCAGTGGTCACACAGGAACACCTGCTGAGCTGTAGCAGCCAGTGGGGAGGAAGGTTTACCGGAGTTACACAGTCCGGCCTGGGTTCTCTGTGGTTGCCTGGCTGGGGAAGAAGCCATCATCAGAACCCCAATCAGGAATGACTTTTCCCACCAAGAGCATTTTTCAATGTCCCTCCCTTCACTGTAACATGACAAAGAGCCCCACACTCAGTGACCAGACATAGAGTACTCACTTATCTGGGGACAACAGAACCACTGCATGAAGCAAACAAGAGAGGTAGGAGCTATTCCCTGGTTAGTAATTATCATGGGAAGACAGCATGTTGCAGAAATCAGCCCTCCCTACTCAATGTGGCAACAAAGATGTCATTTTTTTTTAACTTAAAGCAAATGCCAAAAAAGAAAGGAACTTAGGGTCCTTGTTTAAGAGATCTGATATTCCCACAAGGATCATGGAAAAAGAGGACCAGGAGAAGTTCTGCAAAGCACATAACACAATTACAATTAAATAATTATGTGATTCATTCCTTAATACCTTTCTTTACCACTAGAATTTCAGCCCCATCAACTTGTCTACTGTATACCCAGAAAATAATAACACATGGTTTGTATACTGTAGGTACTTTTTACATACTGCAGTTAAAAAGGAAAAAGGGAATTCTGGGATAGGATGAAAAATTTGGGAATAGGATGGAACCTATCATCTAGAGAGTTGGTTGCAGATAAATGTGGTTACATTAATTTTACAGTGATCATTATATAATTATCATTCCAGAATCTCTGGTTGTTCTGGCTTCCAGATGGGCCAGGTTCCCAGATGTTCCCGGCTCCGGAGCATCCAGCTCTGACCCGCCATGGAGACCACAGGCTGTAATGGATCAGTGGACTCTTCCACCACCTTCTACCTCATGGGCATCCCCTCTCTGCCCAAATCCCTCTTCCTTCCCATCTTCTTTGTCTTTCTCCTCCTCTACCTGCTCATCCTGGTGGGTAATGCCCTGATCCTGGTGGCTGTGGTGGCAGAGCCCAGTCTCCACAAGCCCATGTACTTCTTCCTGATCAACCTCTCCACCTTGGACATCCTTTTCACCACAACTACTGTCCCCACGATGCTGTCCCTATTCCTGCTGGGAGACCACTTCATCAGCTTCCCTGCATGCTTCCTGCAGATGTACCTGTTCCACAGCTTCTCCTGTTCTGAAGCCTTCATCCTGGTGGTCATGGCCTATGACCGCTATGTGGCTATCTGCCGCCCACTGCACTACCCTGTCCTCATGACCCCACAGACCAATGCAATGCTGGCGGCCAGTGCCTGGCTCACTGCCCTCCTCCTGCCCATCCCAGCAGTGGTACAGACCTCCCAGATGGCATTTGGTCCTGTGGCCCAGGTCTACCACTGCTTCTGTGACCACCTGGCTGTGGTCCAGGCTTCTTGCTCTGACACCACTGCCCAGACCTTCATGGGCTTCTGCATCGCCATGGTGGTGTCCTTCCTCCCCCTTCTCCTGGTGCTCCTCTCCTACGCCCGCATCCTGGCCTCGGTGCTTCGCATCAGCTCCCGAGAAGGACGGTCCAAAGCCTTCTCCACCTGCAGCTCCCACCTCCTGGTGGTGGGCACCTACTACTCATCCATTGCCATCGCCTATGTGGCCTACAGGGCTGACCTGCCCCTCGATTTCCACATCATGGGCAATGTGGTATATGCCATTCTCACACCTGTTCTCAACCCTCTCATCTACACACTGAGGAACAAGGATGTCAAAGCAGCCATCACCAAGATGGCATGCTCCCAGGAACCAAAGAATGCCAGGAAACCCTGATTCAAAGGGGTAACTTGATCTTCTCTCATTAACATCAACATAGAGGGAAATGTGGAAAATTCAGGCAGCCAGTTAGCACAACAGTTCTCAAAATATAGTCCTAGATATTCCTCTATTGTAATCAAATAATGGTATTTTTTCTTAATTCATAGACAAATTGAATAGGATTTTTCGATGCAGTTTTTAAGCCATGAATCCCAAATTTCACAAGGCCGTGAGTACAGTTGTTGTCACATTACCATTAATTCAAATAATTTTGATTCTCAGAGACTCCAAGGAACTGACTAGCAAGAAATTTAGTCTTTTCCCTTGGAAGTCTTTTTTCCAATATTTCTGAAAATCTCTAGCATTGCTGGCACATTTCTTGCCCTTTTTGTTGAAATAGCAGCTTAGCTAGAAACACCTATAGAAGGAAAAACTCTGAAGCTGCCACTATCTCAATCCTTGTTGCTTGAAAATTCATTCATCCACCACCGATATCCAATGCCAGCCACAAAAGCTATTTGCCTCTGCTATCTAGACCTCGTGGTGTCCAAGAGCAGAGCAGGCCCCTCATCAGCTTACGCTCAGGCAAGGGGTGTCCCTTAGCACACCTGTTTGGGCAAAAAACGTCATAGTTCTTTTAGTTCTCAGCACAGTATAGCTTCCCTGTCCATGACCCTGGGTGGCTAAGTAGACAAGTTTCTCCTAATAGTAGTATACTGTTCCCACTGCCACCACTCTCACAAAATATAGTCCTAGGTATTCCTCTTTGTGGCCTGAGTGGCCAGCTCAGGCTCCGTATTTCCTTCTCCTATGGCACGTTTCCTCTTTAAGATCTGTCAGATTTGTCCAGTCAGTGACATACAGAACAGTGAAAAATGTTTAGGGAGAACCCAGGTGACAGATATCCTCATCTCTGGCTCTTCACAGATAGTCCCATTCCCATTTCTAGGGTCCCAGTTTTTGCCAACCAAGGCATTAACTTTAACCATTTTCCCATTGTATAAAACTCCATGTATTAATAGATGGGAACTCCATGGATGATTCCATTCAACAAAAGATATGATTAGTTTCTGGACTCAGTGTTAAGCAACCCCAGAGGCCCTGCTATGGTCAAAAAGGGCTTCCTGAAACAGAGAAAGGCTCTGAGTTTCCTTGTTTACTGGCGTGGATTGGGACTAATATCCTTTTATCTAAGCATTTGTAGTACATCCATTCCTCACTCCTTGAAGTTGAGATCTAGACCTCAGTGGGACCACAATCCTCAAAGTCTAAAGGAGATAGTTTAATAAATTGCCTTGCCTATGAGTTCCACGAGCTATTAGAATTTAGCCTAAGGATGTGGAAAGGCATTTTTCTTCTGTCTACTCTACTATCACCCAAAGAACAACTCCACAATTACTCTCATGTCACTACTGAAGTTCTGTTTGGAGCTTCTCTGGTCAGAACTTCTCTTCTGGTATCAAGGTTAGTTTCAGGTTAGGGCTTTTGGTTTGCTGTGTCCCCACATTATGTCATCCGTTCCTCTTCATCTTCCCTGCTAGATGGGACAAGGAATTAATAACATGGAAAGTGAATTGCAATAACATGGAATTCCAGGCTAGTTCTAGCCCCACTCACTATTTTCTTGTGACTTCTCCTCCTAAACATTTACCATCAGTAGACATGAAATACTAGCAATAACAACGTTTTTTACTTGTAGCTACACCTGCTATTTGGCAGTCTCTGTATTTCCCAATTTTAAAAAATAGCTTCAAATTTTATGTAAAGGACACTATCAAGAGAGTGTAAAAACAACCCACAGAATGAGAGACAATGTTTGCCAGTCACATATTCAATAAGGAATTAATATGCAGAATATATAAAGAATTACAACCCAACAACAAAAATAGTCCAATTCAAAAATGTACAAAGGACTTGAATAGACTTTTCTCCAAAGAAGATATACAAATGGCCAATAAGCACATTAAAAGATGCTCAACATCATTAGCCATTGGAGAAATGCAAATCAAAACCACAATGAGATACCACCACACACCCATTAAGATGGCTACTATTTAAAACAAAACAACAGAAAATAACAAGTGTTGGTGAGGATGTAGAGAAATTGGAACTCCTATGCATTGTTGGTGGGAATGCAAAATGGTGCAGCCACTGTGGAAAACATAGGATGATTCCTCAAACTAAACATAGATTGGCCATATGACCCAGCAATTCTACCTCGGGGTATATATCCAAAAGAACTGAAAGCAGAGTCCTGAAAAGATATTTATATATCTATGTTCATAGCAGCATTATTCACAAATAGTCAAGAGGTAGAAACAACCTAAATGTCTAATGATAGATGAATTTTGGATAAACAAAATTTGGTGTATACATACAATGGAATATTATTCAGCTTTAAAAAGGAATGAAATTCTTATACATGCTACAACATGAATGAATCTTGAGGCCATTGTGCTAAAGGAAATAAGCCAGATGCAAAAGGACAGATATCGTATGATTTCACTTCTATGAGGTACCCAAAATAGTCAAATTCATAGAGACATAAGTAGAACAATAGTTACCAGGAACTGGGGGAAAGAAGAATGGGAAGTTACTATTTCATGGGTACAGAGTTTCTGGATGATGACAAGGTTTTGGGAATGGACAGTGGTGATGTTTGGACAACACTGTGAATGTACTTAGTGCCATTGAACTGTACACTTAACAACAGTTAAATGGTATATTTTATGTTATGTATGTTTTAACATAATTTTTAAAAATTTTAAATAGTTTCAAACCAGGCCATAGGTCACAAAGGTCACTGGCAGACTAGGTGTTGGCTGCCTTTTGTCAGATGCCCAGCTCTGGACCAACTAGCTGTGGCCAAAGGGAAATGTGTGGAGCTCAACCACATGATTTAACACAGACACTTAAGAATCAGTGGAAGGGGGCCTGTAATCCTAGCACTCTGGGAGGCTGAGGCAGGCTGATCGTTTGAGCTCAGGAGTTCGAGACCAGCCTGAGCAAGAGCGAGACCCCATCTCTACTAAAAAAAGATATAAAGAAATAAGCTGGACAACTAAAAAAAAAAATATATATATATATCTCAATTAGCTGGGCATGGTGGCACATGCCTGTAGTCTCAGCTACTTGGGAGGCTGAGGCAGGAGGATTGCTTGAGCCCAGGTGTTGATGGTTTGCTGTGAGCTTTTAGGCTGATGCCATGGCACTCTAGCCTGGGCAACAGAGTGAGACTCTGTCTCCAAAAAAAAAAAAAATCAGTGGAAGGGGCTCGGAGTGGGATGGGGCTAATTCGGGAGACATGGATTAAAGTTGTGGTCCCCAAGCCCCTGACCCCAGCCTCGTCCTGGTCCATGGCTTTTTAGAAACCAGGCAGCTCATCACGGCCTGAGCTCTGCCTCAACCCCCATCCTCCATCCATGGAAAAACTGTCTTCCATGAAACCAGTCCCTGGTGCCAAAAAGGTTGGGGACCTCTGGGTTAAAGGAGACAAAATTTCAGTTAGGAGGAATAAGTTCAAGAGATTGATTGTACAACATGGTGACCATAGTTATTAAGAATGTATTTTAGACGGCCGGGCGTGGTGGCTCACGCCTGTAATCCTAGCTCTCTGGGAGGCGAGGCGGGCGGATTGCTCGAGTCAGGAGTTCGAAACCAGCCTGAGCAAGAGCGAGACCCTGTCTCTACTATAAATAGAAAGAAATTAATTGGCCAACTAATATATATATATAAAAAATTAGCCGGGCATGGTGGCGCATGCCTGTAGTCCCAGCTACTTGGGAGGCTGAGGCAGAAGGATTGCTTGAGCCAGGAGATTGAGGTTCCTGTGAGCTAGGCTGATGCCATGGCACTCACTCTAGCCTAGGCAACAAAGCGAGACTCTGTCTCAAAAAAAAAAAAAAATGTATTTTATACTTGAAAATTACTAAGAGAATAGATTTTAAGTGTTCTTGCTACAAAAAATAAGTATTTGAGGTGATGCATATATTAATTAGCTCAATTTAGCAATTCCACAATGTATACATATTTCAAAACATCATGTTGTACATGTATATATACAATTTCTATTTGTTGATTAAAATTAATTACCTATGCAAAGAAAGATGCAGTAGAGCAGTTTGTCTTAAAAAGAAGGGTGAGAGGGCAGGCATTTGAAGCCCTGTACTCTTCAGGGAGTCTTTTCACACCTATGAATTCCAGGTGGTGGTTGTGCAGGTTTGAGTAAGACCAAGTCATTTCACCTCTGCACCATCTCTAGACTGGCAGTGGAGCCTCTGCACCCCCCCTCTCTGGGCTCTTGGGGAGTGGCCACCACCTGCTCTCTCCTCAGTGGTCTGTCCTTCCTCATTGTTTATAGTGCCATGTTTATCAACTGCCTTTACACCTTGTGTACTTCTGAGCTATCTGTTCTATTATCAATTTGTCTATTGCTATGCCAGAATGATACTGTTTTATTATTATAGCTTTGAAGTATGTATTTTTTCCTATCTGATAAAGGAAGCCCCTTCAATCCTTTTATATTTTTTAAAGTTGACTTAGCTATTTGCTTGTCTTTATTCTTTCCTTTAAGTTTTGGAATAAGTTGTAAGCTCTCTAAAAATTCAGCAATAATTTTGGGAGGGACTGCATATGCCACCCCTCCTTCTTATTTGATATAGCTTCCTATTTATTTAAATCTTCTTTTATGTCTTTCATTCAAATTTTTGACTTGTCAGCAAACATGGCATTCACTTTGGTAGTATAAACTTTATTATTTATGTTACTGTTGTGAAAAGTATTTAAGTGTTTCTAGTTGTTATGCTAGAAAATCTATTTCTAGTAGTATACTGGTCCCCAACCATAGCACTTATCAAAATGAATTATAATCACCTTGTTATTATTTGTATATTTTCTTTGTGAGAAGAATGAAGCCATGTGAGGATGGGAACTGGGCCTTTTTCATCTCTGTATCCCTTATCACAGAGCCTAGTACACAGTAGTGGCTTAATAGTTCATCCCTTGGCACATGCCGT